TCTGATGCCCTCTTCTGGTCTCTGAAGACATTGTACGACACAGGACAGAGGTATACTTACATACATGCAGACATAACACTTATACACATAAAATAAAACTAGTTTTTTTTTTTTTAAAGATACACAAGACAGAAGAGAGTTCAATGGACCAAAGCTTGTTTCTATTGAAGTGGGCCCTTCAAAGGGGGGCTACTGCAGCAAATCAAGGTGCGGAGGCCAAGATGACAGTAAAGGGACATCTATCTGGGCCACTCTTCATTCCTGAGGCCTTGGTTAGATGCCATCACCCCTTTGGTGGCACAATGCCAGGCTTGCCTGGATCCTGCAGTGAGTTACAGAGAGCAGGAAAGGGAATCCTCCAGCATCTCTCTGCCCGAGCAGCTGGCCTCCCCATCCTCTGCCTGACTCCCACTGTCCTCTTGACAACCAGTGCTCTCCCCTGACTGGTTAGATTCAGAAAGACTAACTGGGCCACCTTTGCTCAGGGTGTGAGCTGTGCTCCACCCTGGGTTATTCTGGCTGGACAGGTTCTTCTCCTTGATTCTTTCTCTGTGGGACTTTATGGGCAAGCTGAGGCAGGGCCAACTGTCAGCAGGAGGCCAGGCAGTTCTGTCCCTTCCCTTTCCTGCTTCATTTGTATGTCACATCTTGTGACAAGAGCCTCCAACTCAGTTCCCATCAGGCATCGAGACTGGGATCTCTAGGCATTCAACAGTTTCTCTGAGGGTGTAGCTTTGGGTTCCATCCCAGCTCCATGAACGAATGTAGCACTAAGAGTTATGGTCACCAGGCACTACATGGTACCTTCATTGTCAGCTGACACTCTTCCTTGTCAACATCTCCATTAGTATCTCATGAAGAACAGTTAATAGAGGCAGCACAGGATTCACAGGCATCAGCCAGAGTACTTTTCTTGGCTCTCAGATATTCCTGGTGTACAGGGGTGTGACTGGTGGGCAGGGTTGGGGTCAGGCCTTTCCAGGTTTTTGGCTTCTTATCCAAAGAATTGAAAATAGGGCAAAAGTAGCAAAATAACTTTATTTGGAGCACAGTGATAGTACAGAGAGGAATGCACTGCCAAGACTGATCGTGGGCCACATGGGTGAGAGTGCAAGGACCCCGGACTACAGCCTGGATTCTCTCTATGAATCTAAAGGAAGAGGAGCTGGTACTAAGGAGTGCAGTTTGGGTTGTTCTCTATTTCAGTTTACAGGTTGGGTCCCATATTCATTTTTTCTAATTGTCATCGACATCTTTTCTAATGTCCCCTCTCATAGTACAACTGGTTTCAGTCACATGCACACACAATTACGCCTAGGCATACGATGGTAAATAGAGGATTCTCTCTAAAAGTACACTTGAGGTACAATGTCTGCACCCCAGACCAGTTCCGACCAGATGGACCTTTCTATTATTCTTCATACCCGGATACATTGGAAATACACTTGCATACACTGTCTAAATTTGACTGCTACTAAGAGAGGAGGAATCTATACTGTTGTTCACACATGGAAACACACGTAGCCCAATGCACATGGAGGGTGGATTAAGGGATTGTGAGGTTGCTGGGTGCACTGGAGAGGGGTGTGTGCGAAGGTGAAGAAGTTAGGCTGCCAAGTGCACTGTTATAGGAGGGAGTGTATGTACAACCCCAACTAGAACTTGCAATGCTAAAACCTCGGAAGTTCTTGTAACCTGGGATGAGCTGATCACCAGAGCCAAAAGCCTGTCTTAAGGGCATTAAGCCTCACAGTTTTAACTCCCATGGGCTACACTATGTTGCATATGTTACCAACTTTCTCTGAGCTTACGACCCTCACCAATGGAAGCACTTTATAAATATAAATTTGAGTGCAGTTGAACTCTGTAGCATATTTTGTGGTCAATAATAAATAACCATCGTTACGTGCTTCTATTTTCTTACTATTACTGGGAACAACAGAATAAAAACAGTATTGTAAGAAGAAAAATAACCTGATAGGAGGCACTGAAGTTTGGTTCTGTTGAAAGGAATGGGCAAGTTTCCAGAGCTCCCCTTTCTTTGGCTTTCTACCCTGGTGTTAAGCAGCATCAGGACTGGACAGTGGGGTGTATTTCATTTTTGGATTAAACCAGGGGCCACCCAGAGACCACAAATGAGCACAGTGGAATAAATGTACAAACTGACCGTGAACCAACAAGGCAGTTGTTCAGTCCAAACAGACTGTGGTCACATGAGGAGGGACCAGTGTGCCAAACCTTACAGGCTTCTTCTCAAGAAGCCATGCGTATGATTGTCATATGGAATATATTGCTCTGAATATGTTGGCCAGTGGCAGTGAGGTACAGGCCAGATGCAGCTCCATGGTGATGCCTGGCAAGTTCTTTCTAGAACCCCCTACTCAGGGGAAGACAGGATTCTTGACTTTGTCCCAGCAAAGGCCTTTTAAGGAGCCAGTATGAAGCAGAGCTGGAATTTACTAGGAACAAATTTTGGCACAGATTTAAGCATAAGGGTTAATAGAGAGGCTCTTCGGGCAGGACCATGACCTTGGGCTTCTAAAGGGAGGAGCCTCATTCTCAGCCGTGTCAGCAGCAGCATTAAGCATGGTTTGCTGTTTTAGAGTTGCATCTCAAACACTTACTAAGAACCTTTCTTGTTTTTCTCTTTTCCTTCTTTAAAATTTTTTGCATTCATTGTGTGTGTGTGTGTGTGTGTGTGTGTGTGTGTACCATGGCATGCAACTTGCTGGCTCTCCTATCATGTGAGTCCCAGGGATCAAACTCAGGTGGTCAAGCTTAGTGGCAAGAGTCTTTAACCACTGAACCATCATGCTGGCCCTTTAACCTTTTTTTAAATAAATGAAATTAAAGGGTGTCTCCAGAGGTGCCTTGGATAGGACTATATTCTGATATAAAAAAACAAGTCACAAGAGTTGCACAAGGGAATTAAATCATGTCTTTTGCTGTAAATGGGTTTTCTGTGAGATTCCTAGTCTACTGCAGGGTTACTGTGGGGAAAGGAGAAAGGCCATATGCACTTAGGCCTTAAGACAGTGCATTGCTGTTTTTTAAAAGAAGATTTATTACTTTTTATGTGTATGAGTATATTGCCTGTATGTATGTAAGTGCACCCATGTCGAGCAATGCCCACAGAGGTCAGAAGAGGACATCAGATCCCCTGGAACTGGAGTTAAGACGGTTGTTTAGCTGCCATGTGGGTGCTGGATTTAAACCTGAGTCCTCAGCAAGTGCAGTCAGTGCTCTTAACTGCTGAGCTGTCTCTCCGGCTCCAGACATTTCAGTGCTGTTTTAACATTCCCACTTGAAACATCTCTATTGAAAGAATATTGTCTCTGTCAGCCACCTTCATAGCAAGTGTTAATTGTGCTGGGATTCTTGATTCTCCCCTGGGAAAATGCTTCAACCAGACTTAAGGCGAGGGGCTTCTTCCCTGACCAGATCTCCTTAATTTTCCCTGTCTTTCTATACTACCTCATGTTAGCATGAATTTAGAACGTCTGAAAATAGTGTGCAGCCAATCAAAGCATGCCACAGACCCTTTCATCTGCTGCTGGTCAAGTCTTCTTGGTGGGTGGAAGAGCGAATGGATGTCACGTAAGGCAATCAAATAGCACTTATTATGTTCAGTTCAGATGGACTGATCATGCCGAAAGAAAACCAAAGTGACTTACAAACACAAAACACGAGAAGTTCCCAGGTTTTAAATGTGTATAATTTCGTAAATCTATCAACTCAAGACCTAACCTGTGGGTTGCAAATGAGCAAGGTGGAGCTGCCGGCCAAGCTCTGCCAAATGCTTGTGAGCATTAGCTGACAGGCTTCAAAGCAGCTCGAATTAGTCATCACAAATACGCCTGCCAAAAAGGACAGTGTGCATTGGAACATCTGCAGTGCACATAAACACCCCCTGTGAGCTGAATGCACAGAGGAAATCAGCGCCAAAACTGCATAAGGCGAAGAAGCTGAAGGGTTTTCTATTAAGTGGTTGAGAAACTCACTCAGCGTTTATTGAAGGGTAGTTACGTTTCAGTTACCTGTGCAGCCTAGTGAGGCCTTGAACTTGAAGCAATCCTCCTGCCTCAGCCTCCTGAATGCCTGGATTACAGGCCTGTGAGACCACACTTGGCAGCCCCTAATATTATTATTACTCATTTGACCTGAAGTTTTTAAGTGACACAAAGTTTTATTTAGGATACACCTGGGCCCTGTGCACTTACCAACACACTATAAATGGAATCCCAATTCCATCAGAATAGGAAGGTAGAAGTCAGCACTCGTCCATTACTATCTTGTGGTGAGATATTGGAACCCAGCTGCACTGTAGAGTCATTCTTAAAGGCCAGGAAGTCATGATACTTGCTTAGGAAGCAGAAGGGCCCATGGAAGTGCTGACATGGACCACTGGCAGTCCGTCCTTCCTTCTTCCCTTTCTCAACACACTCAGGTGCCATAGCTGTAGGAAGAGGAAAATAGACTTTTCTTTTTTACCTTTGATATTTGTTTTCTCTGGATAAAAGAAGAACAATTTATTCAAAGTTTAAACGCTGCTCTGTGAGTACCAATTATAAAAAGCCAGAGGATCATGTACTAAATCGGTGCTTCTCAGCTTAAAAAAGAATGACCGAGCGAAGTGATTGCAGGTGAAAACAGCGCTGCCGGCCTCTATCACAGGGAGGCTCTGCTGGAAGAGGGGAAGCCCCTGGGTGGAGGTATGCGTTGGGATGGGCATTTTGAATCTGGAAAATATTGCTGCTGTACATTGAAATTTTAAATTATTAAGCTATAATTCACCAGTTAGACAGCCTAAGAAAACAGTCTTCGGAGCATAAGAGCGAAGTCTGCATATGAGCGTTGTTGCTTGCAGATTTGCACCCTGTGAAAGATATTTTCCCAGAATGAATCATTTAAAGACAGAGCCTTCGATGATGAAACCACACGCTGGAGTTTGAAAAGAGACGAGGCTGCTTTAAGAGAGAAACAGGAAGTTGTAACTAGAAGCCATCTGAATGCTAAGCCAGGGCAGAATGCTTGTGAAGTGGGGCTAAAGTGGCAGTGTTTATCCTGAAATTCTCTGGCAGGCAGACCGCCATAGGTAAAGCTTGGTCAGACGGTCCTGAGCCAGGGCTTTATCTGCGCATCAGGGAAGACGGGAGGATGGCGAGGCAGCTCCGGCTTATGTCAGGGAAAGATGAAGATCACTTCCAACACCAGGGAGCGGTGGAGCTGCTTGTATTTAATTTTTTGCTCATCCTTACCATTTTAACAATCTGGTTATTTAAAAATCACCGATTCCGCTTTTTGCATGAAACAGGAGGAGCGATGGTGTATGGTGAGTGTGTAAATTGTGGGGTTGATGTGAAACTTGTTGCTTGGGTGTAATTAGAGACTTGTGCTCAGATGGCAAAGTAGCGAAACTGGAGAGAGCATGCTGATTGAAGTGTCATTAGCTTGATGAGAGGTGCCGCCTTGCAATGAATGCTAGTCTCTTTCCAGGAGGGAGGCAGAAATTTGCCTCGTCACAGAGCAAATGCCACAGTCATCTGAGGCAGCACATAATGCAAGTCTGTTGACAGCTGTGGTCCATTGTCCTGTTAGAGAGTCACACCGAGCAGGGAGCCTGTTTTTGTGGTGATAGCGGAAAGTGATGACTCTGGTCCCAGCAGCCTCTTCCACAGGCAGCCCGGAGGAGCAGTGTGAAGATTCCCAAATCGCTTCACTTAAAATCGCAGGGAGTAAATACTCACATCGACTATTTTTCAAGAAGAAATACTCCCAGAAACAGACCCCACCCCTCTTATGAGAATAATTGTCTCAAAATTCCTTTATATGAACAATGCTTTATTTTTTGATAATAAAATGTTAAACTATGTTAAACTATGCGACACTTTCCATTTCTTAGCCTAATTTCAAATGATCTCACTTATAACCATTATTTGATTTCTCTGTTTTTGATTTTTTTCCCTTTTTTTCAAAAACAAGGACCCATTCTGTAGCCCAGGCTGGCCTGGAACTCACTATGTATCCTAGGCTGGCCTCAGATTTACAGTGGTCCTCCTTCCTCAGCTTCCTGACTGCTAGAATTACAGGTGTGAGTAACCAGGCCCCACTCTTTTTAATTCATGTGGAAAAGCATTAGTATAAGAGTTCTCCCAAAGTGTTGTTCTTTCTGTACAATTTACCATGATATACTTTTTGGAAAGTTTAATAAAATATGGCTATCTAGTCTATACTGACTAGACTGGATCATCTAGTTTTTTAATGTAAAATGCAAACACCAGCATTATTGAAGGATGCTGATGACTCTACTACAATTGACTCCACTACCCTTATCTCAGTCTAGCAATAAATAAGAACTTTGAATACAATGGAAACAGTCAAACCACTGCTATAATTCATAGGAAGGAAGATACTGTGGGGGTGACCCTCATATGGAAGGCCTGAGTCCTTTTATATGTCTGGGGTCCAGGGAACAAGATGAATGTACATTTTATATGTGGATCATGTGATGTCCTGATGTATAGCATGAGTTGAGAGCCTGAGAGAGCCCATGCTAAGTTAAGCAGATCCCTCAAGATACTTGAGCTAACTAAGGCAGAAGCCTAAGGCCAAGCACTGGTTTCTTCCCAGGCAGCAGTCTGCTGGTGCATTCAGAGAAGAGTTAAGTTCCTTTGACAGAGACCCTCAGTGCCAGCAAATCCCTCTGGTGAGGGGGAATTTTACTCAGCAGAGACCAGCCTACACAGAAAGGAAGGATGCCTTTAGAGCCCAGCCCCAGACATGAGTCATCCTCCCTCTGTCCATCATCAATTACCAGGATCTTTCTCCATCTTGGGTAATAAATAATCAACTAGAATACACGGTGTCATCTGAGAAGCCAGAAACAATGTAATCCCTGGCATCATTCTAAGGGGCTGTGTGTCTTTAGCAATGCAATACAGATATAAAACAGTCAGTTGTTATTAAAAGGAAAGATTTCTCCACAGTCCTAAATTTGTTTGAATTATAACTCGTTTACAGATTTTAACTTCTCTATGATAAAGATACAGTTTTGTAAAAATGATTAAATCTTGATTGATTTTTGATAGCCTATTAAAGTTCAGAAATCCTTTATACTCACAACATACAAACTGACTTTTATGCTTGAACTTGAAAAACTCCAGGTTACCTTTCAATCTCAAAAACTCCATAAACTATTTTAAAATCATGGTTAGAATGATCAAATATTAATGCATGGTCTAGCAAAGTTGAGGCAGCACCTCTCTAAGTTACTGACAATAAGGCTGTTTAGACTTAAAGTTTAGAAGCATGAGATTAGATGGGATTGTATGATATCTGTCCTTTCATGAATTTAAAAGATTTTTTCTTTTTAAATATGTGACTTACTGAAAGTAAATTCTAAGCCAGTACATTATAGTCTTATAAAAATTATGAAAATACGTGTTTTATTATTCCATTGCTAGAAATTTGAATATTTTGAGAACTTGAACTGTATAAATCAATGAAAAGACTAATATTTCAGGATTGTTTACTTTTTGCTGTCACAGAGCGTACTTGGTGGGATTTAAGGTCACTTTCTCTACCCCTTCATTTTCAGCAGGAGAAACTGGAACCCAAAGGGTGATTTCCTCAAACTGAACAGCCCCACATGGCAGTCCATGGGGTTCATACATGTCAATATGTTAATGAGGTTTTTGTTGATTTTGTAGATCAGACTCAGAAAACTATTCACACGGATAGCTTTTCCGACTTCTCATATTTCTTCCAGGGTGGTAGAAATGTTGTATTTGAAATATTTTTTAAGAACTTTCTTTCAGGGATGTAATGAAATAGTTAAACTAAATCATAGGAAAAAGAGAAACTCTAATAAACACTTCTTAATCACAAATGGGAAGGAGATGTCAATTGGATGATTTGCCCAGTATTTGCAAGTGAACTTGAACCTCATAGGTCGGGAAGCGTAGAGAACTGAACTCTAGCGTCTTTATTTTAACTGAACTCTAGCATCTTTATTTTACAAAAGACTTAGATAAAGATCATGGTGGGTGTTGAGCTGGGATTCAACCTCTGTCTTTTCCATGAAAGAGCGGAGATACGAAGAGTAAATTCCTTCAGTGATATTCTGGTGTGTGGATGTAGGGGTGTATGAGAGAAGAGAGAGAGAGAGAGAGAGAGAGAGAGAGAGAGAGAGAGAGACATCCTGCACAATAGTTCCACAAGGACGAGAGAGAGAGAGAGAGAGAGAGAGAGAGAGAGAGAGAGATCCTGCACAATAGTTCCACAAGGGGCATAGTGATGAACAATGAAAATGGAAGAAATGAAAATGAAACTATGTTTAATACTTAGACCTTTAAGTTTTGTTGTTATTGTTGCTTATGGAGATGAACATGTGACAGTACCGTGACAACTGTCTCCATCTTACAGATTTGTCTCTTAGCATCGTGGACAGTTGTGTTCCTCTTCAGGCTTCCCAGATTCTGACCAGCAGCTCTCCTACTCTCCGACTGTAGCTCTTGCTGTCGCTGTATAATGTGCCATTTGCTCCCGTATGAGGACCACATTTTCTTTAAGCACTGAATTTCCTGTATTCTTTCAGCCCAGTCCATCACTTGCTTCTCTGTGGCATTCTGGTGGCCTGTGCTAAATGTCCCTTAGAAGATTTAATAGATGTTGATACATTTAATCAGGATACTTCAGAATCCAATTAAAAAAATTGTAGGGATCAGAGGCTTAGAAAATGAGCAGTTAGAGGGAAATGAGGGGAAGTGACCTAGAAGAGTGTTTAACTGCTCTTTCATAGTTAATAGAAAAATATTTCATAGAAATAACTTTCAAGTTGTTAACCTTTAAATATCATATGGAAGGTTGTAGAAATCAAGGAACTTGTTCTATGCTGATTGGAAATAAACTTGATAATCCAAATAAAAGTAATTCTTCATATGAAAAACAGTTTTTCCTCTCATTATTAAGGGTCATAGGATATGTTTAAAAATTAGGTGCGTTATTGTAACAATCTTTTTGCTTCACCAAGCATAGTAATGGGTGGTAAGCAGTCTATGACTCTATTTCAAAGTGAAAAGATAGCCATGATGATATCATTTAAACTGAACTAGAGGCCAGAAGGAATATTAATGGTCAAACTATTGATTGACAGCAGCTGGTGCACTTAGAACTGGTCCTCCACTCAGTGTTCATCAAGAGCACTTGCTTCTTGTTCTCTGGTAGCATTAAGAATTCCATTATGTATCGCTGGGGACTACCACACATCATAGCCTTTTATAATGCTATGCATTTGAGGGTTGGGATTGAAGCTTTGGGATAGCTATTTAAACCTTTTAGAATTCCACTTTTGATTTTGTTGGCTTCCTATTTAAGGGCTATCTCTAAATTCATGTAGTTATTTGTTCATTCAGTAGGCACAAAGGAAAACCCAAGCCACACTATTTAGATTTTAAAAATTAATATTTTATTTTTTTAATTTTATGTGTATGAGTATATTGTCTGCATGTGTCTAAGTACACCTGTGTCACACAATGCCCAAGAAGGTCAGAAGAGGACATCGAATACCCTGTAACTGGACTTGTGGTCAGTTAGTAGCCGCCATGTAGGTACCAGGAGTCAAACTCAGGTCCTCTCAGGTCCTCTGGAAGAGTAGTCAGTGGTTCTAACTGCTGAGTCATCTCCCCAACCCCAATACTTAGTTTTTAAGTTCATGAAACTGCATCATATACAAATGTTTTCTGACTCTTTAAGAGTATTCTTAACTAAAGTTTAATTGGAAATTCAGTTTACTCAATAGCTAGTTTTTCCAGATTTAAAGAAACTATGATTACAAAACCCATCTTTCCTAAAAATCCTATGCGGGCATTGATTCCACCCCAGCCCTTCTCAGAGAGTCCTTGGCTGAAACTGGAGGGCTGGACATGGTGGGAATCACCCTACTGACCCACTTTTGCCAACCCCAAGCTCAACCTGTGCTCCTGGCTGCCAGGTCTATAGGAGACATTTATCACCAGTCTGCCCCCTGCCCCCACCTGAAGGTCTTTCAGACACACTTTGCCTGTAGACAGACACCTGGCAAACTTTGTAGGGAAAGCATTGATGCTCCCTTTGAGATTTAAGGTTTTTAGCCTCATAAGTAGCCACACCCCCAGTATCTAGATGCATTGCTTTGAGCAAGTGACTTATTTTTTGGCCTTAGTTTTCTCATCTGTAAAGTGGGGAGGAAATGAACAGAAATCTGACATTCTTTGGCTCCCTTCTAACTTCAAAAGTCCTTCACAACTCAGGCCAAGACAGATTTCCAATCAGGCGTCTTGGAGTCCCATCAGA